ACCCACTATCATACCAAATATTTTTCTTTTCTCTACAAGTGATGGTTTTGCAGGGATTTTATTGACTTCTTTTCATTTCTTTGCATTGCGAGTGAATCATGACGCATCAAGCTTCAGCTTTTGGAGTTTTAGGAACAACGCTGGCTTTGTTTCTACTTGATGGAGTTGCTAGCCTCACGACCAGCCTTCCTTCTTTACGCAAGTTGTTATCGGCTAGGAGTCGAACCTAGACCACATGCTCAGTTGGTGAGCACTCTGCAATTTAAACTAATGGTGCACATCATACTATATATACCATTGCTTAACGACCCTCTCTACCGTCCTGTATTTTAATCACACCTTGTCAGGATTACGATGGGTTATTTTGCTTTGTCTAGACCAAGTTTACAGTATGATTTGTCATATTATTAATGATTTATACCTTTACCTGTAATAATTCATCAGGTCATGAACTATATCTATTTGGTTCGCATATATTTTGTTGTGTAGATGCAAGTATACTCATTTTGTCTTGGTTATATCGCTGAACTATGTCAGATTATTTGCTTTTGACAATGACATTTTAAACTATAAAGTTGTACACAGATTTTCAATTTATTGCATTTATAAAAGATTTTGAGCACACAAATTGAAATTGACTACACTTCATCCCATAACGTGTATTGTCCTTATTTTACAAGAATTTATAAAGGGAACTAACTAGTGTGAAATACACTTGTACCTAGTTGATATAACTGCCTTCCCAGATGTGTTGAATCAGTCAAATGTCTTGTGAACTTAATGCTACAACGTAGTAGAAAAGTCTGTGAAAATAAATCAGTCAGTCAATATTTATCGGAAGTTTGTCTGTTTCCAGCGGATTAACTTCTTCCATTCCAGTGTATAGCCAACCTCAGAAACTGAGCTATAGAATATCTCCCTACGTTTCATTCTCTATCTATATATTTTTTATTCTGGTTTTTGTACAATTGTCACTTTCAACCTATGACTGACTTTTGGCCTTTCCCTGTAGGAATACTCTTTCAAGTCACCTACTTATTTGAGTTGGCTTAAGAGTGAAAAGAGGATTCTGAATTCTGGGGTTACCTCTCGACAATCCTGAATAATTTGAAAAAGGAATGATAGCGATATTTTTTTTGTTAATCCTGGTCTTAATAAAGAACAAGTTGACTGGGACAGATAGAGTGAACAGCTACCAAATTACTAGGAGGGATTTAATGATTTCCCTATGAAAAGAAGTATGTATAAATTTTTAAATGTTCCCCCCTGCCAAATCAAGAGAAGAGAAGCAGCATGTCATATAACACTCCATGACTGTGATGTACATCGTTCATTAAACCTGAACAATAGCCGTGAAAGCAAAAGACTTACGAAATAGCTTTGAACAACCAATTAGAATTTTTACATGTTGAAAACTGCATGCAAAATAAGTAGATCAGTTGATGAAAAGGAGGAAAGTAAGAGGAGAAATATGAAAGCGACGTGATACTCCTTGATATTTTGAATAATAGCCTCACAATTTCACATTGTAATATTATTGTCTAAATGAAACCAGTATCTGTATATGAAACATCTAGGTGGCTAAGATCCACATACTGCATCTTGAAAATTGTGTGCTTATCAATAACTGCATTCACAAAAAATGAGAAATGGTTCGAAATATGATATCGTAATAAGCTGTTTAGTGTGAGTCGATAAGTCATTCGTTTGGCCCTCCATACTGTATGTCTATGTTTGTGTAAGCATCTGTATTTTGTTGACAAATCAGTCACCAGAGAAATCATAAAAGTAGACATTTGAGGTAAGAAACAGATATCATGTAAAGTGCCTAAGGCTTCAAGTTTCATAGGCTGCTCATTTGTTCTGGTAAAAGAATAGAATCAGGGCACTGTTGTAGTGGATAACTACACCATAGAATAGTTTTATTTGACAAAACATACAGTGATAGATTGTTATTTACGAATGAGTTTTCAAGCACAATTTATTGGTCGTGATCATATCAAGTTGCTCATATAACTTACAGCTTTTGTTTATTTAGTCACACCATTACTTACACTTCTATTATACTGTCCTGAGTAATCCCTATTCCAAGGGTTTTGTGTAGACTTAAACAATAAGGACGCAGTGATCAACATATATCCTTCCCTTTAATTACATCAGTTTCTAGAATTGTAGCTCTGTCCCGCCCCATGGTGCCATTGTATGTTAGTCAATGAATTCCGACTGCTGAACATTTTTAAACCGAGTCATCTTTCTGATGTCAATCATTCTTGCAGTCTAAAGTAACTGTAGTAATTTATTGTACTTGAAGTATTAGTATACCGGGATGACGGAATTATAGGAATCTAATCAAAACCCAGAGAGGGCAGCAATCAGTAATTTGTATTTAGCGGAATTAGAATGCAATTCATATAAGAAACATATCAACAGTCAACAGTAAGTATTTAAACAATACAGAGATAGAAATTGTCAATCACCACATCCGCCACACCTCGAATATCTCCTCGCGTATTTATAACGATGTCTCGGTTTGCTTGCAAGTAGCTTCGACCTAACTGATTCTGTGATATTATTTTCATCAGTACTATCTGGACTTATTTCTGAATTATCTACAAAATCAGGATTATTAGCGGAATCAATAATATTATAATTGGAACGACCTACTTCATTTATTGTCACTTTGTCCAGGTGTCCGTTATGAACTGAGTGATCTTTGATGTCTAATATCTTCACCACTCGATTTCCCATTTTTTGTAGTATAATTCCAACAGAAGGTCTGTAGTTATTATCTTTGTAATAATGTACATTAGAAGTAGTGGACATCAGATGCTTTTTGAGAATTCGAGATTTGAATAGTTTTGCAGGACTTTCACAAGAACTTGTATGCTCTGGATTCACCAGACGTAGTCTATGCATATGCAGTAATTCCTCAATTTTATTCAGTTGCTCTCTCATCTCATTCAGGTCTTTTCGTGCTTTCGACAGTTCACATTGCAACTTAGCTACCTCATTTTTGAATACAGTTGATACTTGCGTTGCTGAACTTGCAGTGGAGGTTTTCGTTGGATTAGCTTGAGTATTTTGAAAAGTTGAAAGACACATAGACTCCATTTTACTAGACAGCTTGGGAGAATTATAAGAATGTTGAGCAACATAAGTACTCGAACTCCTGCAAACCGTCTTGATGTGTCCAACTTTACCACATTTATAGCACTTAGCACTCCGAAAACGGCAAGTGCTTCGTAGATGTAACTTTCCACAGGATAAACACGGTTTAATGTTTTTGATCTCTCGCTGCATTCTGTTACCTGTGGACGGCAGTTTGGATTTCTTTCCATGAACACTTGTATTTTCGACTTTGGACAGCATGACATCAGATACTGACGTAGTGGGAGCAGAGTATTCATTATTGACATCTTCATATGTAATGCATACATCTTTAGCAGTTTGAAACGTACAAGAAGGAATCTGAATTAACTCTTTCTCTAATTTAGGAATGTTGATTCCAGCAATTAGACGATCACGTAGTTGTGTATGCAGCTGATCTCCAAAATTACACTTTGAGGCTTGAATTTGGAGTTGTAGTATAAAGTCTCTTATCTTCTGATTGGGAGAACGTACCAGTTTGTTGAACTGAGCCCTCTCTCTGGTCTCAAAAGTAGTTACATGGAAGTGATCTATAAGAAGTTCACGGAGCTTAGCATATGGCATAGAAATGGGTTTATCTGGAAACGCCAGATTCTTCACCAGGCTATATGCATCAAGCCCAATAGTAGTGATGAAATGAGCAGGTATTTTATCATCCCGAACATTCTTGGAAATGCACCACGCATCAAAGCATTCCAAATAATCAGCAATCTCTCGCGGAGACCCATTAATGGGGAATTTTCCCAGGTTACTTAGCTCCATCGCGACGCCAATTTGTAGTAATTTATTGTACTTGAAATATTAATATACCGGGATGACGGAATTATAGGAATCTAATCAAAACCCAGAGAGGGCAGCAATCAGTAATTTGTATTTAGCGGAATTAGAATGCAATTCATATAAGAAACATATCAACAGTCAACAGTAAGTATTTAAACAATACAGAGATAGAAATTGTCAATCACCACAGTAACCTTTGACCCGATTAGGCAAGGTAATTTAATTTTTATTTATTTATTTTATTTTTGATTTACAGCTTGATTCCACACTGTATTTTTGGTACAAGTATGGGATTTTCAGCATGGATATCGGTAGCCCAAATTTTGCAGGCCGACCGTAGATATCAGGTGTGCGCCGGCGTGGGCTCGAACCCCGGACCATGTGCATGGTCGGCGAGAGTCCTAACCACTGTGCCACCGACTCACACGAAGTGTCCTGTTAGGTCAACTACATAAGTCAGTCCAGTAGAGCGAGGCCGATTAGGTTATCAGAATCTAGGAATTCAGCTAAATGCAGAATGATTGACACCAGAAAGATGACTCGGTTTAAAAATGTTCAGCAGTCGGAATTCATTGACTAACATACAATGGCACCATGGGGCTGGACAGAGCTACAATTCTAGAAACTGATGTAATTAAGTGGACGGATAGGTTGACATCTGAATCTTCCTAGTTGGAAGTCGATTGCAGAAGTCGGTGGAAAATTTCCGCACCTTTTGAAAAGTATGTGATGACTGACACATTCAGTTATACTGTAAACTTATATATATTTATGCGAGATAGTGCTGTCAATGAGACAACATCTAACCAACTGCTCGAATACTATTTTCACACTGAGAAGAAAGTGAAGGCAAACTCGAGATGTATGATTCGTTCTTCCTCGAAATAGTTCAATGGGTGTTTATTTGGTTATTTTACATGACCAGGAATCGGCAGACTCAGTGTATTAAAGTTATACTCAAACTCGTACTGTTTGGAACTAGGTAGGTTAAGAAGAAGCGTTCAGTGTTATACGTTCAAACTTTTTGAAATAGATTTGGGTGGGACACATACGAATATAGGTTATCTCATTACCGTTATCTACAGAAGATGTTAAGTAAATCTTTTGAAGGCAATTTTACTGCTTACCAAAGATCTAACATGAGTGTTCTGTGTATAAATACAATTTATTTAGAATCAAAAGTTACAAAGATTTATTCCGAGAACTGTGAAATAAATCAAATGTCAGCAGTTCCAGCTGTCACCAATGACTCAATTCTGCATTCATCTTTTCCACGTAACATTCTAAAGTATCCGTTCTCTCCCCAATCTTCATTCCACGAATTAGCGATCAACCAATAGGGAGTTTCCCTCTCTACACCCCATCCTATGATTCGAACAGCATGCCAAGCCATTTCTTTTCCTTTCATGAATTTGTAGATTCCAGATTTATAGTTAAGGAAATCTGTATACACTCTGAAAACTGCCGCAACTGGGCCATGCATCATAATTTCTTTCTGGATTGTCTCTTCGCTGACAAGCAAGTTGTAAGACGTCTGACCTAGTGAGTAAGTGGTAGACAAAGATGACGATATTTTAGGTATCAGGATTAGTATAACACTGGCGGGTGAATAGCCAAATGATTCACTCATTTGAATGAGTGGATGATAATCATTCAGACCAATATTTCATACTATCAATGGAGATGAGAATGATGGCGTATATTATTTGTTAATCATAACTACATGCATAATAACTACGCGAAACATTCTGATTAATACGATGGTGTAAATTCACTTTTATCAAAAGAATGCACTATTGGTGACTATGGCACCCTTTCATCAAACAACGAGGTCAAGAATTTCCAGGCATCATGAAAATGAATAGTTGAATCTCTATTTCAGGATATCTGTCTGATAACCAGTTGTCGCTGTCCCACTACTGTCTTATATTGTATATCGTCTGTTTACGCGATTACCTCTGAATTTATCACCACATGCTACCACTCAGTTCCCATGAACAGGTTAAAGATAACCGATAATACTCAAGTGAAGTTAGGTCAGTTTGTACATCAGTAACCAGAGTTTTCGAGTTAACTCTTCATGAAGTGAAATGTATTGCAAACATAGGTAGTTGTTTCTCACATTTTGTGTACATGCGTACTGTTTGAATGGACTAGGTATTGCCCAGATAGTCAGTGAAGTAAAACTGGCAATGTAACATTTAAGGTGTTATCAGTTAATTCTTACGCATCATTATTGACACTAGGTTTGTCCTCATATGCATCTGATTGGTCAATAGATTGCAGGTATAATCAAGGAGACAGGAGACACTTTTGGCTATTTTGCACATTCATGTTTTCCTACTTGATACCTACCTCCATGCTGGTTATCGACACATTCTTACTTGATGAGCACATTTAACAGACTGCAGTCCTTATTTAAGTTTGCAAATCATAAACACCAATGTTTGCTTGATCAGTATAATTGCATATTATAGCAGTTTAATTCTAATACACGAAAGAAGAAAACCAACAACTCAGCATATATCATACTAATACATTTTAGAGAACAAATTTCACCTTACCCAGTCTAATTATTTACTAGTGAAATAAAAGAATGTGAAACGCGTTTCTTACATTCAAGATACGAAATTAAAGGCAAGTGTAAACTGAGCGCCGAGTGCAAAATAAACGAATATAAATTGGCCTCGAACATACGTAATTCCTACCTTTTGTTCCGCGAAATCTTCCAAACGTCATCATGGAAACGCTGAGAATTAAAGTTACCAAAGGTTTATACCAAGAAGACATCATTTCTTGTTAATTCTTGATCAGAGAGATTCGAAGGCGCCAGATGCGTTGAGGTAAATATAATCAACATAGATGTCAATGGTAAACCCTCGTTACAATATTGCTTCAGTTTACTCGCGAACAGATGTGGTAAGTATTAGTCAAAAGGCATGCATTACAACTATTTTAATGACTGTGTATACGTATAGTCACAGATATTCTGAAAACAAACGTCATGAGAACTTGTAATTCACTTTTCAGATAAACTATCGTCTAAAGTGCGTCTAAATACCTGAGAAACGAAAATATTAGTCCCATTTCGGAATACATAATTTAGCACAAACAATGACAGTCTGACAGAGTACAATAAGTCAGTTTAGTCCGAAGAAATTTGGTAAAGAACATTGACTCTAATGTTACTCCCTGGTCAACGAAGTATCAAATCCACTTGCTAACTACATCAGTACGCAATGTCATGACAGTCATAGGAATTTCAAACAGATTTGAAATGTGACATAACATTTTGTAGGACTTAAGTTATGTCATCTGATTTCTTCATCGTCAATTTAACTTACCATAGTACTTGTCTTCCATGTAGGATTTTTCGTAATTATTTTGACACTTCCGTTGACATTTCGGCGTCCTATAAGGCTTGTCACCACAAGCTGGATACTTGCCTGTACTGGAATGTTCACATTTGGGAAATGGATATGGCAGACAGCCAGTCTGATTCTCTTTCGAACTACCAGTAACAATGCCTTGTTTCACCCAAAAGTCCCAAGCTAATCCTGGAGATCCACCTTGACACCCTTGACCACATGATGTACAACAGCTGAGTAGATCGGCTGCACTTAACTCGACAGATTTATTCCCCTCTGACTGAATGCAGATACGATCACTCATTGCTTCAACTGCTGCAAATGCCTGGGAAAATTTAAAAGAATTCTGATATAACCAAATTCAATTTTTATCATCCGTGAAAACACTAATATACTCCGCAGATTTGATCTGTTGCAGATAAAGAATGTGCCTGAGAATTCAGTTTATATTTGATAACAAAATATCTCTGAATTGTGGAATTAGATATCATAACTGAGTATTGCTTCTGACTTGTGAATAATAAGCAGACTGTAATTCCAAATGTAGAAAACTGGATATTTCAGACAAGACTGATGATACTTACCCAGCATGAACCACATCGTGATTGGTCACTAATAGTCGATATACTTTCACACTGACTCCAGTTCGTTCGCGAGTCAAAACTTGTTGGTATTTCCAAGCTCACATTTTTGTGATCAACTGTTGGTCGTCTCCTTTTTCTTAATTCCTCGTCCTCATTCTTGACACCAAGTAGCATTCGTGCATCATCAACGGATTTGAATCGATAATTTCGGCCAGCTTTCCATCCGGCATCAGGCTGTCAAATGAAGGGTGGGAGAAAACCAGTGCTTACATTAAATAAAACAAATTCATGCTGTAACTGAACGATTAAGAACTATGCAATAATCCACTTTGTATTCCTTGACTGTTTTATCGGTTGGACTGGTTTTAGATTTTGTACAATGGCGTCGTCGAATGACAATCCACGTGAGTGTACACCTACCTGAGTGACAAACTCATATCATCATAGAGCTACAAGAGAATTCAATACCAAATTAAAATGCTGTATTCTAAAAATGAGGTGAATACAACGTGTTGTGATGCAAAATACAGAGGAGACTTTCAAGAAACTCCCCGTTTCCAAACAATTGTAGTAAGGATAGATTAGTTTCTGCACTGCCTACAAAACTTAGACTTACATGGAAATTACATAAGCGGTAAAGTAAAACAATTCCTTTTTCTACATGGAATAACCAAACCACGAAGTGCTTTCAGATCAAAATCTAGTAGAGTTTATCTTTCAGCTTAGGGAACAGTATTGACAACTGTATGCTTTTACTCACTGTATCAAGTAAATTCCATTAATTCAACACATTCATAGTTGTTCGATCGTGAGAACGAATGTGTACTACATGATCGTAAATAGTGTAACAAACATGAAATACTTTATTTAGAGTATGACTTACATGCTGGTTGATATATGAAATCACTTCATCTGACAGAGGTTCGAATTCTTTTTCATTATTCATGAGTACATGAGCTGTGAGAATGCTCATTAAGGAAGTTAAACACAACACTATTTTTAGCATTCTTCACAGGATGATGAAATGATACTCATCAGGTACAAATGCCGTTATATTTCTCTCTCTTATAAATGACTCAATTGATGACCTTTGTATTACTATAATATGATGATTTTGTTATCTGCATCAATCTGTCATCATTTGTATGGATTTTGTTGCATTTTTGTCATTCATGTTATCGAAACACTCAATTAAATAAACTATGTTTGGTGTTTTACTGCTTTATTTGAAGTATATAATAGTTGTGTGTGATTTTTTTCCAATGAATGCTAAAATAATCGCATGTGAGGATGAAGTACAAACGAAGAATCTTACTAACACTCAACTAAGTTGAATTTAACGATGATAATAATAACACAATGGCTTTATTCGAAAAATTACCATTGAGAAGAACTGTAAACACTGATACATAAATATTGGTTGAATCTGTTATCTCCCCAGTAGAATGAAGACATAACTGTTAGCTGACAGTACAAAATAAGGAATAAAACTGATATAAAAGTGTAGATAGACCTGAAACCAGGAGGAAACCAAATGAAAGCATGAAAATGCCACAACTGCAACTATCAAAAGCCCTGACAACATGATTAATAATAATAATTTTTCCTTCACGTTCCCAGTGGAACATAGGGCTCCAAGCTAGTGGCTTGAAGTTTCTGTAGCAGTGTTTAATTTTTATAGGATGGGGTTGCTAGCCTCATGCCCAACTTTTCCTCTTTACCAGCATTATTTCTGGCTCAGTGAGGTAAAGGAGTGCGCCGGCCGGGGATCGAAACCCGGACCATATGCACGGTCGGCGAGCGTCCTAACCACTATACCACCGACGCAACATAATTACCACTAGGTAAATATCCGGTTCATTCTTTGAGGTATATATCCAACCGCTATGTTATTTCAAGAACGATTATTCAAATGAAGAAGTGGGTTTTTTTTATCTGTAAATATAATGACTTTCAGTTTCATGTTAAACGATGAGAGAAATTAAAGCTGAGTTTGACACGATCGAATTAAGGTGCTAGTGTGTCGCTACTGAACAAAATTATTGAAGTTATTTTGTGGACGATGAAACTGAATTGCAGGTATTGAAAGAGTTCGGGGTTATGACTTGAAGACTAGACTAAATACATAATATCTTATGATGCTAATCAGCAGTTTGGCACTTGGAAAAGTCTCAATGTTGAACATTTCCGAACGAATGCACCCTGTCAAAAATAAGTTTAATCTGTTGATAGATTCACTAAAAAAGTTTAACAGCTTGGTGTTGTTTTGTTTTCTGAAGTGACTGGTTTGTTTGCGAATCAGTCCTTGTGCTTTTCATTGAATCAAGCACTGAAGATGTCGAGATGCAAAAAAGAAAACGATTCTCATCTACACCAACCAGCTCACATAACCTAGGCTTAATTAAAATTTTTATTGTCTCCACTTCGACTAATAGTATGATCATGGTTAATAATTTTGCCAAGATTTTTATCGAAAATAAAATCTGTCTCCATAGAATCACTGTGTGTAGTTAAAATAATCTATGGAATAGACCAAACGCCTGAATTACGCGTAAAATCTAGAACATATTATTTGTATGACCCATTCTACCACATTGAGAATAAGAATAATGGACATCAATTACAGGCTTGGAATTTCAAAGTGCCTAAGGTAAATGCGTGCGTCGGTGGCATAGCAGTTAGGACGCTCGCCGAAAGTGCACATGGTCCGGGGTTTGATCCCCGGCCAGAGACGCACTCCTTTACATCACTAAGCCAGAAATAATGCTGGTAAACAGGAAAGGTTGGGCATGAGGCTATGTTGTAGTTATTTGTAATCGTAGTATTAGTATTTCGAGATGACCGAATTACACGAATCCAAACAAAACTCAGAGAGGGCGGAATTCAGGAATTTCTATTTAGCGGAATTATAATGCAATTCATATAAGAAACGTATTAACAATCAACAGTAAGTGTTTAAACAATACAGAGATAGAAACTGTCAATCACCACATCCACCACACGTCGAATATCTCGTTGCGTATTTATAACGATGTCTCGGTTTGCTTGCAAGTAGCTGCGACCTTCTAACTGATTCTGTGATATCATTTTCATCAGTATTATCTGGACTTATTTCTGAATTATCTACAAAATCAAGATTATTAGCGGAATCATTACAATAATAATTGAGACGACCTACTTCATTTATTGTCACTTTGTCCAGGTGTCTGTTATGAACTGAGTGATCTTTGATGTCTAATATCTTCACCACTCGATTTCCCATTTTTTGTAGTATAATTCCAACAGAAGGTCTATAGTTATTCCCTTTGTAACAATGTACATTAGAAGTCGTGGACATCAGAGGCTTTTTGAGAATTCGAGATTTGAAAAGTTTTGCAGGACTTTCATGAGTACTTGTATGCTCTGCATTCAACAGACGCAGTCTATGCATATGCAACAATTCCTCCATTCTAATCAGTTACTCTCTCATCTCATTCAGTTTTTCTCGTGTTTTCGACAGTTCGCATTGTAACTCAGCTACCTCATTTTTGAAAACAGTTGACACTTGAGTTGCCGAACTTGTAGTGGAGGTTTTCATTGGATGAGATTGAGTATTCTGAAAAGTTGAAAGACACATTGACTCCAATTTACTAGACAGATTGGGAGAATTATAAGAATTCTGAGTAACACAAGTATTCGAACTTCTGCAAACAGTCTTGATGTGTCCAACTTTACCACATTTGTGACACAGCACCCCGAAAACGGCCATCGCTTCGTAGATGTAACTTTCCACAGGATAAACATGGTTTAGTGTTTTTGATCTCTCGCTGCATTCTATTACCTGTGGACGACAGTTTGGATTGCTTTCCATGAACACTTGTATTTTCGACTTTGGACAACATGACATCAGATACTGACGTAGTGGGAGCAGAGTATTCACTGTTGACATCTTCATATGTAATACATACATCTTTAGCAGTTTGAAAAGTACAAGAAGGAATCTGAATTAACTCTTTCTCTAACTCAGGAATATTGATTCCAGCAATTAGACGATCACGTAGTTGAGTATGCAGCTGATCTCCAAAGTTACACTTTGAAGCTTGAATTTGGGATTGAAGAATGAACTCTCTAATCTTCTGATTGGGAGCACGAACAGTTTGTTAAATTGAGCCCTCTCTCTGGTCTCGAAAGTAGTTACATGAAAATGATATATCAGAAGTTCACGAATTTATTTTTTTTCTGATTTACAGCTTGATTCCACACTGTATTTTTGGTACAAGTATGGAATTTTCAGCATGGATATCGGTAGCCCGAATTTTGCAGGCCGACCATAGATATCAGGTGTTCGCCGGCGTGGGGTCGAACCCCGGACCATGTGGATGGTTGGTGAGAGTCCTAACCACTGTGCCACCGACGCACACATATCTTGTCATATGACAGGGAAATATGTTTCTCTGGAAACGCCAGATTCTTCACTAGACTATATGCATCTAGCCCAATAGCAGTGATGAAATGAGCTGGAATTTCGTCATCCCGAACATTCTTTGAAATGCACCACGCATCGAAGCATTCAAAATAATCAGCAATCTGTCGTGGTGAATCATTTATAGGAAATTTTCCGAGGTTATTTAGTTCCATCGCGACGCCAATTTGTTGTAATTAATTGTAATCGTAGTATTGGTATTTGGAGATGACCGAATTACACGAATCCAACCAAAACAGAGAGGGCGGAATTCAGGAATTCGTATTTAGCGGAATTATTATGCAATTCATAAAAGAAACGTATTAACAATCAATAGTAAGTATTTAAACAATACAGAGATAGAAATTTTCAATCACCAAATGCTAGGAACCCCATCCTGTAAAATATTCACTGCTTCAGATACTTCAAGCCACTAGCCTGAGGCCCTATTTTCCACTGAGAACGTGAAGGTAAAAAAGTGTAAATGCAAACGAAACAAACCTAACAGTGGGTTAAAAGGTAATAATGGTGCAGATGCTTCGGAAATAATCCACGATGAGAAATGAAGAACGTGAAATTGCACAACGCAATAAAAACTGTGTTAGCATAAAGTAGGTTCGAGAGAGTGCGTACTTCAATGAAAGTGAAAAATTATGACTGCACATTAACCATATATCTGTGATGAGAGTTGGTTGTAAGCCAAAATTTTAAACAACAACTTACGTTAATATTCACGTCCCGAATCAGGGTCATGCGAAAAACAATAACTTAGCTGAACCTTGAAAAATTCACCAGCCAATCACAGCGGCGTTAATGTATGCAAATATGATTCACAGATATATGACTTGATTTTCTGAGAAACTTCCAAAAATAGATAACAGAATAACCTTCAGTAAGAAAATGACCAATCAGAAGAGGTTGTTTCTCCGCTAACATTAATGTACATAAAAATCTATGAGTACCTCTTGATTTTTCCAGTAAAGAATCTGTTGCCTGGCCCTTGTCTTCTGGCTTTACATATTAAGTAAAATGTAAACCTATGCTGCTTAATAGCTGTAGGTAGTTGTGGTTTAAATTAAGCTTCTGGTGATAATATGTTTTCATGTAAACATATTAATTTACATGAAAACCATGTCTCTTTTACAAGCACGGCCGAACATGATGTAATTTCAAATTGTAAAACACAGATTAATTTCTCTTGTTTCGATTTTCTAAGTAGTTGATTAATAACATAAGTTTTTTAAACAGTGCCATGTTATCATTAAATTCTAAAGCTGCTGTCAAGGCTAGATGGGCATCCGAGGTTCGATCTGCCGCCGACACACCCTGCGAAATTTGGACTACCGATATCCATGCTGAAAATTGCATACTTGTACCAAAAATACGGTGTGGAATCAAGCTGTAATCAAAAATAAAAAATAATAAAATAATAATTTACCGTGCTCATGCCTAGAGAAGCATAGTCAGTGTCTATTTTGGTGAAAATTAGGAATTTATAGTTATCTGTATGCTTCTTTTTTCGAAATAATCAGTACTTTCTCATAATTCGATTGTAGGGTTGCCCTGAAGTGTTCTGATATGCCAGATGAATTAAAACCAACAAAGGCAAGTGCTAAGAGAAATAAGGAATGTAACTGGCTCTTACTTTCCT